GCTGGACCCAAATCGACCACATCACCATCAGTTACCACTGCAGGGGATCAATTCAAGACTGCCGCTCTTACTGGTCAACAGCTGTGGATATAGACCACGCCTTGTTACGAGCCAAGTTCTCCTTACGCCTGGCAAACAATCGCAAAAAAGCCACCGACAACGGATACCCACGATACAGTGTCAGCGATTTATGCAAATCGACATTCGAAGCGGAGCTCTCCGAACGTCTGTCAGTTCAACCACCAGCCGAAGGACTCAGTGAACACTGGAAGCAAATCAAGGAAGCTATGCAGATATCGGTAAAAACAACGTCGGACACTGCCTCAAGCTCATAACACAAACGATGGATTTCGTCGACCCCGGTTACCCTGCTGGAGGCCCGCAGAACCCTCCCTCCCGAAGCCACATACGACACATCGCGTAAGTCCCTTAAACACCAACTAATCAAGAGTCTGAGACATGACCGCGAGAAGTGGTGGGTAGAAAAGTGTAGAGATGGAGAAAGCTGCGGCTATTGATAATGGTCGTAACCTTTTCCATCTAATTAGGAATACGGGTCCTAGGAAAATAGGCGTACGTGAGCTAATTAAGGAATCCGATGGCATACTGATTCACGATCAGCAACGCCGTCTTGACCGTTGGGCTGAAAACTTCAAGGCTCAGTTCAACTGGCCCCCATCGACATCTTATCTCTCAATCTCCGCCTCGCCTGGACAAATACTCCCAGTTGATGCTAGTCTTACACCTGAAATGGAGGTTTCTCGGGAAATAAGGTATTTCAAAGGGCATAAGGCCTCAGGCCCAGACGGGCTCTCCCCATCCGTTTTTCAGGAAGGAGATATAGCATCGGTTTCGGAGTTAACGAAACTCCTGGGTTCAATATGGGAAAGGGAAGAGGTTCTAGCTGAATGGAGGGAATCAGCGATCATGCCGATTTGCAAGAAAGGTGATAGATCTTCTTGTGAAAACCACAGAGGAATTAGTTTAATCAGCATTGCTTCTAAACTACTCGCTGGCATCATACTCCACCGATTGCCAACCGCACGTGAAGAGTGCACGTGTGAGAACCTGGTTGGTTTTAGGCCCGGTCGAGGTTGTATGGACCACATCTTCACTCTCCGCCAAATTCTGGAGCATCGACACTTTTTTTCGTAGATCCGGAAGGAGCTTTCGACTCAGTCGACCGCTCTAAACTCTGGCGTTGCCGTTCTCTGACAGGTGTGCCCGAGGAGTTTATTTCAATATTACGATCGCTTTATGCTAATAGCCGAAGTCAAGTACGGGCTTACGGTACTTTTTCGCCCGAGTTCACCACGGAAAGTGGTGTTCGACGGGGTTGCCCTCTATCTCCTTTTCTATTTAACTTTGTTTTATATTTGATTATAGAAACAGCTTTATCCTCGTGCCAGGATAGCGGTATCGATTTACTCCCAGGAGACAGACTGTCTGATCTAGAGTACGCAGCCGAAATTGTGCTGCTGAGTAAAGATTCAAAGTTGCAAGCGTTTCTGGATAACTGTGAATGCCAGTGTAACCATATTCGTATGCGTTTTGCACCTTGAAAGTGTAAAATGCTACTACAAGACTGGGTTGGTCCAGCACCCAGCCTCACTCTAACTGGGGAAGTAATAGAGCGGGTGGATAAATTGTTATTTGGGCAGTTACATCTCACCCGGTGGACACATCACGGATGAAGTGTCTGCTCACATACAGAAGGCTCGGTTGGCATTTGCTAACTTGAGAAATTTGTGGCGCCGTCGCGAAATCCGGCTGTCTGTGAAGGGTCGAGTGTATGCCACGACAGTTCGGCCACTCCTGCTATGCGGTTCAGAAACTTGGCCATTAAAAAAACAGTATAAAGATAGAATGTCGGTGTTTGAACACCGCTGTCTACGTAGCATTGCACAAATCTGGTGGGGCGGCCGGATGAGCAATGCTGAAGTGAGACGCAGAGTTTTTGGTATCCGCAGTCGCCCACTGCAGCAAGTGGTCGACCCCCATAGATTACGTTGGTTGGAGCATGTGTTACACATGTCACCAGATAGGTTACCACGGCGAGCGATGTTCGCCGAAGCAGAAACCGAGTGGAAAAAGCCAAGGGTGGTCAAGCTAAGACCTGGCATGAGGGTATGAAAACCCTAACCAGGAGTCTAAATCACACAGGTCCCGTTAGGCTCCCTGGCTGGGGACCTCGGGATGATGGCCACCGATGGTTAGCTACACTGAGTGATATGGCTGGGTGTCGCAAACAGTGACGTTCTTGCATCTTCTCGATTTCTTTGCAATCTGAGACCCCTGAACTCCTCCATTTTCTGTTCGACTCCACTTTTAACTTTCCTTTCTCCTATTCTTCATCCTAATGGGCAGTCAAAAGACAGCAACCAACACCGGCGCACGGATATGCGTGGTTAATGGTTGTACAAACTTAAAACACTTTATGTTGACTATTGGAACATCGCCACAAGTTTCAACAACCTACAACGGTTTGCTTCATTGATTTTCGCGAGGCATTCGACTCCCTAGATCGCGAATCCCTTTGGAACATAGTTCTGGCCGATGGTGTCCCAGTTAAACTTATCAACTTAATGAGATCCTACTATTCTACCACTAGCGCCCGAATCCGGAGAGGAGTCTTGTCCGTTCGTGTTAGGATCTGGAGTGCGACAGGGCTGCCCATGGTCCCCAATGCTATTCAACTTAGCCGTGGACTGGATAATGGTCGTTCGATGGAAGAACACCAGAGTGTTTAGATCTCTCCGAACTTATGGTTCACCGACGTGGAATTCACGGATGATGTTGTCCTCTTTGGTGGTGGCATGTTCAACCTACAAGTAGTCGTTGGCCGCATCAGTCGACAGGCATCCGAGATCGGCCTAGAGGTGAACACATCAAAAACCAAAAGCTTTGCGACAGTCCCGATTCATCCCAAAAATGCTTTACTGCTAAACGGCGAGCGGCTCGAATCCGTCGAAAGCTTTAAATACTTGAGTTCAACCATCCTCCCCCACGGCCAAGCTAAAGACGAGGTGCAAATGCGCGTCGATGTTGCAAGGGCGTTTTTACAGTTGAAGAATCCTCTTTGGCGCAGAACTGAAATCGGCTTCAAGACAAAAATCCGAGTTTTCTCCGCAGCGATCTGTCCTGTCTTGCTATACGACTGCGAAACCTGGCCACTCAGAGTCGAAGACTGTCACAGATTAGAAATCTTCGATCACTGGTGCTTAAGAATCATTCTGGGAGTACGATGGAGGGATCAACTCTCAAATGAAACGGTCAGAAATCGGTGTTTTTATCTTGTACGACTGAGGACGCTAATGCAACGGCGGCGACTGCAATGGTTTGGCCACATTCTTCGTGAGTCCGATAGCGACCTGACAAAAGCTGTCTTCGCACCAACTCCCTGCCCGAACTGGCGCTGACAGCTGAAGACCTGGTATGACACGGTACGAAAGGATACTGAAAACCTTGATCTCCGTTCTGTCTACGGTGTTCGCCAATGGAAGTCAAGCGGGATCACAATCTGCGTTGATCTTGCTGCATATCGCCGAGCGTGCGCAGCGGCAATTCGAGATATCCATGAAGGCGGCTTTTCCTCTCCTCGGAGTTAGCCGCCGTAAAGTAAAGTAAGTAAGTATAACTGAAGTTGATTGCTGTTATCCGGACACAAGGAAACTAGAGTAAAAAGACCTTAACAGGCCTCCGATGCGCTCAGTTTTCTACCTTGAGTGTTAAACCTATATCCCATGCAACTAAATTGGAGCCTCGGTTAAACGAATGAGTTCGGTGGGATCATCGTGCATTTTGTGCATCGAAATTGCAGTTAGCTGGTGCATAGGCAGAGGTGATGAAAAAATATTTTCTAGTATTACTTTCCTTTAAAATAATTATTGATTTTGAAGCCGGGTATCATATACATGACAACTGAAGGGAAATTAATTGGCAATTGAAGTTTCAGCTTTATCGTCCAGTACATTTCTTAATTCGTGCTTCATCCTCACTTGGTGAGCGAAGGAAGAACCCCAAGGACAAACCCGGCGTATCTAAGTGGCATATAGCACTAGAATTCTGAATTCATGTCTTCGATACGTTACAGATGTCAGTTGCTAATGAGCTCATAACGCACAAGACAAGCATATTGGTTTATCGGCATGAGACCTTAGATTCACAGATTGACGAGGCTTATCGGTTTAAACGTCGGCACACTACTTATGGCTCAATTTAGCAGACTATTTGCGAATGACAGACAATTTGTCTAATGGAATGCTGCGGTTCAGACAGAAGAACAAAAAGAGGGTTTTGAGTTGTCGCCCTGACGTACCCGCGCAAGAAGCTCAACCCGATCTATGTAGGTTTCCTGGTTGGCGTTTCCATACTCTCATGCTAGGTCTTAGTTTGGCCAACCTATTTTTTCCCATTCATCACCCTCGGAAAACGCGCACCGTAACCTGCGTAAAACATCGCAACCAACGCAGTCCGTGGTGGCCAACCGGTTACTTCAGTGGGCGATCATAAGCGCCTAAAACTCTGCGCCTGACCGCAGCAAAATGTGTTGACTTCCTGTACTACTTCCTCGGCAGGAGTAAGGCTGGCAGCTGAACCAACCCAGTCCTGCACGAACATCTTACACTTTGAAGGTGCGATATGCATGCCGAACATGCCCGTATTAGCACCCACACTGCCCAGAAATGTTTGCAACGTACTTATATATGATGCCGATTTCGAAATAATCGCCGGGAGACGTTGTTCAAAAGCCCCACGAGTGGATTATAAATTGAAATGATAATCAGGTTCTTCATAAAACGATCAGCAATAACGAAGGTATTTGTAAAGCTTCATTGCCCAGCACTATAATTCAACAGCAACCCACTGGTTACGGTGGCTGGTTCAGTGGAGAAAAGCAACACCAGATGATATTATTTATTATGCTCAAAAATAAGTAATCATCAAGTGGAAGATATTACATCATAAGTGAAAGTATCCGGGTTAAAATGAAAGCAGAGTTACTTGTCGTCTTTGATTTCACTTGGAGTAGAATCTTTGCTATCCGATGAATTAAGCATATGCTTTGGGATAAGATGTTGTAGTTCTGAAGGTATCTTTATGTACAATTGCTTTTCCGCAACGAACATAGCATCTCTTCCCAAATATCCATATTCCACTTTTAAATATGATTCCAGTTCGGCTGGTCCACGAATCGGAACATTCTCAAAAGTGTAGTCTCTTAAAGGAAGGATCGATGCTAATGGGAAAGCTTTTTTAGATGTGTCGTAAACACCAGGGATATCCCAGTTAACTTGTAAATGAGAATCTGGATATAACGAGTGAGGGGAAAGGGTGAATAAATCCACATGGACGGGAGAAGGATCCGAAAAAAGATGGTTTAGTGTGTGGATATTTTTACCAAACATAGCACATGCTTTTTTAAGTCCTGTTTTCGAAAGGAAAAACTTGGCTATTTTACAGTCTTTTCCGTAAAAGAACTGCTCGGAGATTGAATCTACACCAGTATTGTTCACATGAAGCCATGTTTTACCCGTACGTCTAGAATCAAAAGTCATTGTGATTTCTGATTCCTCTGATGCACAGAAAGGCGGAAATTCACCCGATACACCAGAGTATGAAACACCGTGATTGATACAAGTCCTTAGTAATTTAGTAAAAGCACCAACACCTTTCTCATCACGTTCCAACACAGCGAGATCGACGTCTGAGTCATGTTTTATCATTCTGCCGTTCTCACGATAAACCGCCAGAGCGGTTCCTCCATACACAAAGGGATCAACATTAGCTAATTTACAAAATTCTATAACCAATTTCAATAAATATATTCGTAATGGTCGCCAAGACCGATTTCTTCGAATGATTCGTTGGATGTTTTTAGCCGAGCACTGACACCACATATCGAAACTGAGCATAGAGGGATTTTTGGTTGGCAAAGGTGTCACTTTTTCATCAAATAGAGATCCCAGGAGATCGTCCGAGATATCCATTGAGAATGAAAACTATAAGTGAAAACCAGAACTGAAATGGAATGGGAAGGAACAGAGCAACACTGAATCAATTCCGGACAGAAATGAAGCCAAACACTTGATATGGAATTTATATATCAATTTTAGTTTTATCGCATATATTACGTTACGCGTGCATAAGGGTAAAAGTTTCATGAAAAACGACTATCTAACGAATAGCGCAAACGTATGAAGAAAATTTTGACACAAAAAGCAATGTAAACTAGCCCGTACATCTGCTTAAATGTCGCATAAGAGCATGATGGGATCAAAGGAAACAGAAGATACGAGTGGGAAAAATAACTTACTGTCAGCCCGGAACTCCTATATGGAAAAGAATATGCGCCTCCGGGCAATTGGTACAGTGTCCCACGCTGATGTTTCGTGAATGTTTGCAACACCGCCTTATTAAATCTAGATCCTTTGAAAAGATATACAGGTTTGAGAAAACGAGTCGCTGAGCGAACAATTGTTTTCGGATATTCCTAGTTATGCCTTTACATATCATATAGTGGAAAAATTCCTACATAAAGATAACCATTGGTTCAATTTAAGGTCATTAATCGGAGGCAGAGAGTAATGGAAGTGTGTGTGTGTGTGTGTGTGTGTGTGTGTGTAGGAATATTTAGCGTGTTAGTTGGTGACCTTTCCCCACTTCGGTCAAGTGACACGTCATGTTCTGTCTTGGTTTTCACACCCAACCAAAGCAATTGGAGCGCCCGCACCAGTCGTTTTGGGGCACACAGGTTAGGGCCCAGTAAGCGAATGGCGATCNTAGTATCCAAACTCCGGCCGCCTTTGATCGACTGAGTGTTATACGATAAACAATATCGAAAGTTTTCTCCGGTTCGATCTTGTGTCCGGTGTCGACGAGATGCCCTACGATCGCCCTTGAGACATAGCCAGTCTTCCCGTGACTTAACCATCCCGGATGGTTCTCCTAAACGCGCTGAGACAAACGCCTAACCGTACGGCCTATGTGTAGTGACAGTGTCAACCCTTTCCGCTCATGTACCTTTTCCACCTTCCGAACCTTGTTGTTTTACCGGACCAAGATTACCTCGTTGGTCACG